TGATCAGTCGACATCACACTCCCAAGGTAGCAGAAGCGGGGGGTGGTTTCCAATACTTCAGCACCAATGCTGATTTGCGGCAATATTGAAGATTGCACCTCCGGTGAAGGCTGAAAGAGACAGACAGTTTTGCTTGTGTTGATGGTGAGCCCGAATTTGGCCGCTGTCGAAGCCAGAGCACTAGTCATATATTGCAACTCATCCGCGCGGTGTGAAAACAACGCACAGTCGTCAGCAAACAACAACCTACGGATAGTTGTCTCACAGACTAGAGTTCTCGCACCGAAACGACGGATGTTCAGCAACCCACCATCAATACGGTGCTCCACACGAACACCGTAAGCACAAGCGGCATCAAAAGCACGGGACAACATTGCATGATATATATTAAACAGGGCAGGAGCTAAGACACAGCCTTGCTTCACACCAACTGCAAAGTCATCCGAGGTCTCTCCACTCAGCTGCACCCTCGCTCGCATACCGCTGTGCAGACATTCAATTAAACTTACAGACTCATCCAACACCAGCCACAATGCCTCGCGGTTCACCGTATCAAATGCCTTGGTGAAATCAACAAAAAGCGAGTACAATGCGTGGTGTCGTCCCCTGCATTTATCCTGCAACTGACGAGCCGCAAACACCATATCTATAGTGCTGCGACCCGAACGGAATCCACATTGCTCTTCCGCCACGTTCGGTTCCACAACCTGGCTGACGAGGCGGTTGAGCAGGATTCGGAAAATTACCCTGCCTACACAACTCAGCAAGTTGATGCCACGATAATTCGTGCAACATTGCTTGCTTCCTTTGCCCTTGTACAGTGGTAGCACAAGGGCATCCTTCAGCTCAGGTGGCACCTCCTCCTCAATCCATACACGTTGCACCAAGTGGTGCAGCGCAGTCACCAACGCGGGTCCTCTGTGTTTCAATACTTCAGGCGGGATCCCGTCTGCTCCGGCACATTTGCCGTTTCGCAGCTGATCAAGTGCTCTCTGTGTCTCATCCAGTGTCGGCATGTCCGCCAGATTCGCCTTCACATCGTGCTGCTTCAGGCCGTTCAATGTAGGCCAGTCGATCTCTGAACGGTTGTTCAAGAGACAGTCAAAGTGTTTTCGCTAGAACTGCGTCATGTCTGCAGTCTGTGCGCAGGTAGCGCCTGAAATACCATCGATCAGCGTCCGCAGCGGCTACAATTTCGGTCCATGCACCGCTTTCAATGAGTCAAAGAATTCCTTGTGTTGGCGGCGTTCGGCGTAGCATTTCATCTGCTTCGCCTTCTCCGTCCACCATGCATTTTTTATGCGACGGAGCTCTCGGATCAGTCGCCGTCGAAGTTTGCGAAACTGACTATTCTTCCCCAAGTCACTGGGGTCTGCCACATGTGCAGCAAATGCTGCATTCTTCCCCGACACCAATGCGCCAATCGTCGCATTGTTGTCATCAAACCAATCAGGTCGCATACAGTTTGCGCGCCCGATGGTCTCCTCGGCGGCAGCTGTCACTTGGTCGCGAATGTGGCGCCACAGGTCGCCCACTGTGGCTATGCAGTCCACATCACACAGGCGTGCAACCATCGCCTTCTCCAGCTCAGTACGTTTCGCCACAGTACCGAGGGAGAGAATATTAAATTTACGCCGATTCACGGCGGGAGTGCAATACGTACGATAACATAGTCGAGCAGGTGAGCGTGACCACTCCGTGGGTGCGTCCAAGTTGCTATCTCACTCGCACTCAGTGCAAACCGAGTGTTCGTGATCGTCAGGTCGTGATTTGCACACAGTGAGAGCAGCCTGTCACTGTTCGCATTCGCTGAACCAATGCCATGCGAAGCAATAACATCTGTCCACACCGCTGCATCAAGCCCAACGCGCGCGTTGAAATCCCCCAGCAGAAATAGTCGGTCGCTCCTCGGCACAGACCGTATCATAGAGGATAGCTGAGTGTAGAACTAATCACACGTGTCATCAGGATAACACATGGTCGGACCGTACGTGCTTATAAAAGTAGCAAACTTACCTCTTCCGAGTCGTAGGCGAACAGTCATCAGTCGCGCGCTGATGCTCTTTGGTTCACCCACCAGCAGGCCATGGAGGCGATCGGATATTGCAAATCTGACCCCATGATCACATGGTGCTGAGGCGGCGTTGCCCACCCAGTATAATGTGTAGCCAACACCTGTTTCATACAACTTACCTTGCTCAGCGAGCCGGGTTTCACTGAACGCCGCAATATCGATGTGGTAGCGCGCCAGTTCCATTGCGATGAGTGCAGTGCGTCGCTCCGGGCGCTCGCTGGAGTTCCGGTCCAGTAGTGTGCGCACGTTCTAGCACCCGATGCTGAGTGCTTTGCGCGCAAGCATACGATTGCATTGGTGGGCAATCGCACGCGAGGTGGTCGTTGTGCCTCGGAGGTTTGCTTGATGGACTCCACCCGGAGCCTTTGACTCAGTAGCCTTACCCACAAGGCAGTGGGTGATTTGGATGTTTGCTTGAGGGACTCCGCCCGGAGCCTTGGCTCAATAGCCTGACCCACAAGGCAGTGGGGAGCAGATCCAGCTCGGGAATGCGTTTGCAGAGACAGATTGGGATCTGCTTGACGGCCGTCACACGCAGACTTTGAAGTTCTGGAACGATCTATATATGTTTTGCGACCGCAGTAGGATGCACCTGCGACAACGACCAGACGCAGGTGGGTTTTGGCGGGTTTGCACCAAATTGACCAGGGGCTGTCTGGCTTGAGGCGGGCAGTAGCAAAATGTTGAACACCCGGAGGTGCCCTCCCACCGTCAGAGACAATGCGTGGTGCTCGTGCTCTACGCCAATCGAGCATTGAGAATATCACCCGTAGACCTGTTGTCTCCCATCGACCACTCCCTAACCTCCGAAGACGATGTACTAGGATATTGGCAAGGCGCCCATACCTGACAGGAGAATGACTCGGGTCCTCAGCCAAAGCCTTCGATTAAATGAACACCCGAAAGGCAGCGGGTCCAGCACATGGTCAGTTCACTGACTCATGCGGATTGGTGTCCTGGATCTTAGCAGGGAGAAGGGCGAAACCCAACTCCCACCCAGCAGTCACCATGAGGAGGCGCCCAGGACATGAGCAAATGGCACAACAGTAGCAGCAGTGGGTAGACCATCTGTCAGGATCTAGCCACCAACAGCCTCAGCGCACCATAGGCACCGTAGAGGCATCTGCCTCTAGCTGTCATGTGTTCGATCCGTAGTAGGGGACCGAGGAAATGCGCACCACTGACGAGCACCAATAGGGCGAAACGCCTCTGGTGCTTTTCCGGACCAGGCTATGCTGTCTAACTTGTAAACTAATGGGATATATATATATATATATGTATATATATATATATATATATATATATATATATATATATATATATATATATATTCGGTTATATCATCCTCTGCCTGCCGACCGATTCTCTTGGGGTGTGTTGTTCGCTGTTGCTGATTAGTTTAGTACAGCCTCAGAATATACAGCAATAAAAGTACATCAAGAAATTGACAAATTGCTGATCTAATTGGCGTGTTCCATTTTTCTTATTAGAGACTTCTAGATTCGCAAATAAGCAGCTAGAAATCATCCCGACGTGTTCCATTCGCTAGCTCGGTGCCCCCTTGCAGTCAAGCTTTTCTTTTGGCATGTATGTCTTTCTCCCTCCGGCTTTCGTTTACATATTTTTCTATTTCCCTTATCATACTGGCGGCGTGGGTCACATCAAATGTTGTAGTCGTATTTCTGTGCGCGGAGCATAACTGTTTAACTGAGCTGGACCACTTGTCGATCGGTGGTCGAATGGTCTGCACGCCTGGCTTGCAACGAATTGCCAAAGCTCGCCTTGCATTTACTAACTTGTGGCGTCGTCGCGATGTCAGTCTCAAGCTCAGGCCGAGTGGACAATGCCACAGTCCGTGCTGTCCTACTGTACGATTGCGAGACCTGGCCTGTTCGATCGGAAGATTTGAGGCGATTATCTACGTTCAACAACCGCTGCTTGCGTTCGATTGCTCGCGTATGGTGGTAGCGCCATGTGAGCAACGCGGAAGTTAGAAGCAGAATCATGGGAGCGGACAGTTCTGGTCTCCAGAGCATAATCATCCAGCACCAACTGCGTTGGCTTGGTCACGCATGCTGGCCCACCGCCTTCCACGTCGCGCATTATTTGCACTTCCTGGACGCGAATGGAAAAAGAGCCGCGGCGGACAACCCATGACCTGGAAAAGAAGTATGAAGATCCTAACTTCGTGTCTAACGTCAGTTGGATCTGCGCGTCTTCCAGGCTGGGGACCACATGAAGCGGATTCCCAATGGTTGGAAGTCTTGGAGGATATGGCCCGCAATAGGAGTCAGCGCTGTTCTACCATCTCTTTATCGTGTGCTTTATAATGTTGAACAAAACATGAAAACAGAAAAAAACTCGAAACGGCGTGTGTGAAACTGAAAAACATTTTCTAACGTTTTACTCTCTCCTTGGGCATTATATTCTCCTTTCCATACCACCATGGTTCGGATGGCGCATTGTCTATTTACAGACTTGTGAATAAATAATAATAATAATAATAATAATAATAATACTGGCTTGCAATCATAAGGTCGCCGGTTCGAATCAGCGTTGGGGCGGGCGTCTTCGCGGTACACTCAGCCCATGCAGGACTGATGGTAACGCGGTTGCGAAGCGCCGTTACGGCGTACAGCTGACGACTTATTTTTATTTACTTATTTGGTCTTAAGCAGTCTTCACAAGAATTAAGTTTAGATGATCATTCAGCTCTTGTGTATTGCGTATTTTATTATCGGAAGATACCGGTGTACGTGTTTGAACTGTCAAGTGTTGGTTTTACAGCCTAAACAACGTACTATATAGATATTGAACTGAAAGATCCACAAAGCAAGGTTAAAATCCTTTGAGACGTCGTATGATATTTCGATCATTGATCCCTATTTGCAACTACGCTGTTCCAACTTAATCTGCATCCTCACAGATTGATTCGGAAAGTGTCCGCGGTGTGCTCAACGGTCGTGAGGTTGGCCTTGGAATCGCTCACAAGTCCCCAGACGGACGACGAGTGACTTATATTTTCCACGGTGAAGATCATACTTTAGGCGCCGCTCTGCGTTTTTGTATTCTTCACGGGTACGTCTGTCGCATATTATGTCGATTGAATTATTACTACGTTCTGAATCTCACCGCATTCACTTCATGCAAGCAGCATATTTAGGCTTTCGGAATCAATTCAATTGGTAAAAATGTGTGGTCCATGTGGCGATGCATTGGTCTGGTAACGCTCTACTTGACAGACGCCGAGTATTTTCCGAACCGCTAGTGTTCGGTAGACCAATTTATTGGGCTTGGTTGGATTGTCGCTGCATTGTTAGTGACAGGTGAAAACAAATCGCATGGCAGACATATCGGAAGATCGATGAAAATCTATCGTAAACTATCGCTCGTGTAAACGAAGTGGTTATCCGATTAGGTTCCTAGCATCGAAGTGTAGTGGAGATCCAGTCATTACAACTCAAGTCGCAAGAGCATCAGTAACTCACAACATTGAGGAAAATGTGGTAAGATGCAAGTTCAGTTTGCTTGGGCGTGTTAAGTAGCATCCGTGTATGGAAATGCGGCGAATTCAGCTACCGTTGCCAAGATAATAACAATTTAAGAAAAATGAGTTTTCTGATGCATCCCGTTAGCCATAGAGAGTATCACGAGATGAAACAATGAGTTAAGTAGGAGACGACTTTTAAGTTGAGGAAGACTACCATAGTGCGTTGTCTGCGGTGTTCCTACCACTTATGGGCTGAATTGCGAGGGCGCTGTTAGTCGAAAACCAGTAGCCACTGTATCTGCCGATCTGATCGGCCATGGTTCGCAACCGTGAAAGGATAGTAGCTTTGTAGAATCTACCCTCCAGGGTCAGTGATCTTGCACTGGCGCCATACGTGGCGAAAACACCTCGAGCTTCTGTTATGTGCTTTCTGACCATCACAGCCGCTGACAAAACTGCACAAGTACCTGAATTTTTAGATAACTTCTAGCTGTCCCCACCAGAGTTGGTCCATGCCAATGCTAGAGGAATACGTTGCATTTGAGGGTGCAAAGAACAGACCGAAATGATTGTCTGCCCAGTGCTGGTTAACATATTTGTGAGGTTTTACAGATTAGGACAATATTGTCGGCACACAAGTCAAGAGGTCGATCATCTGGAAGCAGCTCTACATCTCGCTCACTTCCGGTGAACGCAATTTCCGTAACCTAGTCAATGGCGAAGCTAATAAACAAAAGTGACAGCGGACATCCTTGTCTCACACACTTGGAGATATAAAAGATCGTTAGCAAGTAGCCATAAGTCCTCACACTCCCCGAACTATGCACGTACTCATCATCACTATGCACGCTAGCTAGAGGTGGGAAACACCCCAGCTATAGTACCGCAATACACAAAAAAATAATTCTTTAGATACAAGTAACAGAGGCACGCCGACTGAGCCACCACTAACGGAAGGACATCGTTCCGGAGAGCTGCCAGCCGACTATTGTGCCGCAAATTAAAAATAATACGTTATACCTCGGAAATGACATCGTGCTTAGATGGAAAGGTTAATCGGGAAGGGGAAGGACAAAGAAACACACAACACGAACGCCATTGGAGCCGGCTCGTAGCCATGTCAGCAAATGTGTCCAATGGAACGTGTTCACCGTCATTCTGGCCCCAACCAAGGAGACAAGAGGCTCCAACCGTGGCCAACTCCGAACTAAGGGTCATCATTCCTCCTGACAAGTTATCGCTTGACCCCCTCTTCCATTCACACCCCGGTCGCGTAAACGAGGCACGTCGCGGTAGTCGGTATGTTGGCATGCGCAACACGTGGCCTAACCATCGGTGCCTGGTGCGTGAAATAACGGTGCTGAACGGTTCATTATCTCTTCCTGTGCCATGAACAAGCTCATTGCTCACATGGTGTTCCACCAGATATGAGCCAAACTGCGAAAGAACCGGTGGTCAATCGTAACCAGCCTCTTTATGTCTGCCGATCTAATGAGCCACGTTTCAAGACCGTACAGTAGGGTTAAACGTACGGCTGTATTTTACGGTCTACTCTTCAGGGAGAAAGCGAGGTCGCGCCGGCGTCATGGATGGCGAAGGTTAACAAAAACGCCTCCAGCTTTGCTATACGGCTCGTGGCCTCATCTTAGATCCCAAGGGCGCTGATACAACTGCCCAGATAGTTGAATTTTTGAACGACTTCCAACTGATCCCCACCAAGGGTCAATGCATGAGGCGGTCCCTGCCAATCTTGGCGGAAAGTTTGCACTTCCATGGTATAAAGCAAAGCCCGAGGTGGCTGGCAGCCAGTGCTAATCTGTCCAGTGCGACTTGGCACGTTTGTGAGCTGTTACAAAGGAGGGCAATACTCCAAGTCAAGAAGTCGTTCGCCTAGGAGCAGCTCCATACCTTATTCACGTCATGTGAACGCGATCTCCATGACTTCGTCAATGGCGAAATTGAAGAGGAAAGGTGACAGCGGGCATCCTTGTCTGACACCACTGGAGATATTGACAGGCGGCGACAGCTTGCCGTATGGCCTCCCTCTGCCCGAGCTACGCGCGTATTATGCTCTCGCAATATTTAAGTATTTCTCGGGCACACCTTTCCTGAGTAGACAGTCCCAGAGAGCACAACGATCAGCCGAATCCAAGGCACCTTTGATGTCGAGGAACACGACAACGGTGGGCCGCCAATATATGTGGCGGTGCTCCAACAGCTGACGCAAAGTGAATATGTGGTCAATGCAGCCACGACCTCGACGAAACCCGGCTTGCTCTTCACGAATCTGGTTTTTACGAGTGCCAATCAGTCTGTGAAGGATGACAGAGGCAAGCAATTTGGAGGCGATGGAGATCAGACTGATTCTTCTATGGTTGCCGCATTCCGATCGTGAGCCTCCCTTGAAAATTGGGACTATGACGGAACGGCTCCAGTCGGTTACGACAGTTTGACTAGTAACTCGTGTAAATCATCAACAAGAGCAGGTCCCCCGAATTTGAAAAGGACTGAAGGAAGATTATCTGGTCTCCCGGCTTTATTCAACTTCAGCATTCTGATCTCACGTTCGACTTCCGCGAGTGGGGACGGATGTAAGGAGACGACTCTGGGAGAAGGGAGAATGCCCGAAAAAGAAAGCGATCACTTAGATTGGTTACACTGTCTTTCAAAGTGTTCGGTCCAACGCTCCAAGCGGTTTGACAGGCTGTGGATCGGCTGTCCACTCTCGTCGCGTATTGTCTCGCTAACAGATCTCTTGTTGCCTGTAGCATGCTTTGAGGAACTCTTCCTTGTCGTGTCAGGAACAATCAACCAGAACTACCGGTGCATCAAGGCATTTTAGATTATAGTAATATAGTCTATCTGAGCCAAGATTAGATTGTCATTCGGTAAGCACCTGGTTATTCGATGCAAACGCTGTGCTGCTGATATAGTGACCAGCGCAGAGCTGATGAAAATGGTCAATGTTTCCATTGCGTAAACTACAACTGAGGCGACGTTACTGTCTTGACAGGCGACCGGTCTGAACGGTCAGTCACGGTATGTAGACTTTTTGCCTTTAGGACTAAAGAGGCTTTACTGATTTTTGAGCTCGTCTTTGATGGCCCTCAAGCTGCAGTCAGTGGGAGATGATGTCGTTATGACACGACGGCACCTTGCTTTCGGTTACTACTTATTAACCCCGGTGGAACTTTGGCTGTTGACTAGGATCAACTGTACAGGAGCAATCTGTGTACGTATACTTAAAGTGATGCCGACTTTATACGTACCGTTAGCCATGATTTCCGCGTTACCAGAGCCGCGAGGTACTTCATCTCTGTCATTAGGATGTGAGTCTGTTAATTGTAGACGCGAATTTCGAAAACACGACATGTTTCAAAGTGAGGTTAGTATTGAGTGACGAATTCTTTTCGGTAAAACTCATCAGACTCAGATAGTGCGGATTACATGCAAAATGTGCCGAATCAGGCTGACTATTGATAAGAATGTGCAATTCCAACAGCCAAATCACGTTGCAACTAAAGATAGTACAATTATGTAACAATAGTAGTTGGCTACGGTAGAAGTAAAGGGCGTATAAATCGCTTTTGTACACGCAGCTACGGCTTGAGATGGCGGATATGGATAGCTTCAGCAGTGGATAGATGTTTCCGGAATCCGTGCAAGAATAGAGTAGATGACCGTGAAATCGTGTTCCGAGTACGGTCACGCAGGCTCTAAACAATATTCAGCACACTTAGTTTGTATGTAGTATGTAAACGTCTGAGTCTAATAAGTTTTACCGAAAAGAATTCTTCACTCAGTACCTGCCTCACTTCGATTCATGCTATTAAATGGGATTGTTGAATATAAGTACCTACGTGATTCATAGAAACACGGCATATGCCGACTTCAAATGGTTGTAAATTCATAGAGAGCGTCATCTGTCAATCGTTTTGTTACGATGTGTAGGTGCTGAGAGCTGGTGATTTGAACTGTGTTGCATGTTTAACAATCCATCTGGTTTTATTGTTATTGTACTTTATGTATTGCGGCACAATAGTTGACGTGTGCTTCTCACCTTCAGCTAATGTGTAATGGTGAGGATGATGATCACCAGCAGTGCTCTTCTTAAGTAACACGGATATACGTTTATTTTCGAGGTGGTAAGCAGTAAGGTAAGTATCACTGGCGACGGTATCTTGTCAGTGGATGATACACCACGGTTGATCACTGCAGCAGTGGCGGTTCGTTCGAGGGCACTTGCTCATAAAACGGGAAATGAAGTGGTGATTCATTAATCCGTCCCATTGAGCAACATGAAGCAAGTACAGCTCAGGAGTGTGGGTGCGGAGTTATTTTTGAATATGCCTGATACCTGACCTGAGAACCTGTGGAATTAACAGCAGTTGCGTATGCTTTTTATCGTAATGAATGATGCACCTGCAAATACGAGTAGCCGTAAATAAGTCTGGGTGGTTCTGAACCCTCATAACTGGAAGTAACCCGACCTGTGGACGACCGTAGCGAACAGGAATGATGGTCTTTACTTTCCAACAGTAACCATATTTGCCCACTCTCTAACAAGGTCGAGTTCTATTGGGTTTTGAACGATCGCGCTATCAGCCTATGCGCAGTCATCGATGGGGATAACAGTGAGATTCATTTAGTTTGTTTCCTAATCATTCGGCCGTCCGTCGTGAGTGTATCTCAAGCACCTGAGAAGTGCCATCCAACGTAGTGCACTAGGTCACGAAGGTGCATCATGGTGATGAATATCAATATCTTGACTCGTCGGTATGAATGGATTTGTTTACTACACCGATTTTTCGAACCGTTTCCCTACTCCATATCAGACCATGGAGACTAGTGAGCCAAAAGCTATCGATTGTTATGATAATCACCTCGTTTCCATGCACTGACAGGTTCGATGGTGCTAACCGAGTTCGCGAAGTCGATCCTTTTTTCACGTTAATATCCATCGGTATTTCATTTTCACTTGTCTCATTGACTATGTCTTATGTTTGAATCAAGTATCTGCTTCACATATATGCTGCCAATTTCTTCGAAAGAATCATTTCATCACACCGGTTTGTTCTCGAGACCAGCGCGTTACCGATTCTACTCTTACTATGATCCGTGTTAAAACATCCATCACATGACTCTTCTTGTTTTTACAGCACTCGGGCTTCGTTCTGCGGTTACTGTGTCCCCCATCCACTAGAGGATAAGATTAATTTTGACATTCAAGTGAAGAGTAAGTGCTACCGCCCTGTTCTACTCTCAACTCATGATTGTATGTATGTATATAAGTCTGTAACACAGCTGTCATCCTATGATAAAGTTAAAGCTGTCGAAGAGGGTCCATGAATTAGTGGCTTTCAGGCACCTTAACGTTTACTAGCCAGTTGTATCAGTGGAAAGGGTTGCTGTGCTCCCATGTATCTTTGTAGCATGTTTGCCCATCGTATTAGCCCTATTTACGTGTGATTTTCCTTCCAGGCGGTTCGGCGCATGAAGTACTGTGCGAGGGCTTGCAATGTCTACAGGATTGCTTTATGCACATCAGATCGGCATTCAAGAAAGCAGCGTCGGATTACAAAGTAGCATCGAAATAAAAGAATGGTTAGCAAGTAAAATCTTCTTCACAAAGATGTGTACAAAATGCAACATCGGTGATGGGTGAGGGAGGATGCGGCAACTGAGATAGGTCCCAACTTCTGCCACACCGATTTCGTACCAGCGTGGGGATATCTAACAACGTCCATTCATAATGTGAAATTGAGACCAGTCTTGCGATCACTACAGGTCCACGTTTTGTACAAGATGTCTGTAATACGATAAGCAATGTATCAGCGAGATGGGTGCTCCAATGGAAGACATGGTTTCAGATTACACGTGGTATTTCTGGCTCTAATTGTCTCATTGTACACGAGTGCCGATGTTAGTTCCGTAATCTATTCGCCGTATTGGCATCCGTAATTCAAACAACTTTTAAACGTGTATGGCGATATTTTGTTTTTGACTAAAGCACTACTTCGGAACATAATGCAACAAATGTACAAAATGAACCCCTTGTTCAGAATTACTAAATATCGATCGATTCTAGGTTAACTTCAAAGTATTGTTCACTAAATTTAGATCCGATGGAGCAAGGCAAAATGGACAGAGACCACCATTGTGTTTAACAGCCCATACGATAATATTGCACTAGTGAGTCTGTGTATCCCTTGCCCGAAGCAGTGTTATTTCAACAGGAGTATGTGCTATCCGATCACCCATAAGTACGAATGGTGAACATGCATACAAGGGATTGTTTGCGCCTTAGCCCCTCTTCATACACAAATGTGTGCATTCCGGATAAGGATTTGAACGTTGGATATTTCACCAACGGATTCAAGTTTTATGGCGCCCGAAAAAGAAATGTGCACACACCAGAAATCTATCCCCCAATCCCCGTTACTAACCTTCCTCGTATAATTCCAAGCTTGATTGACAGCAGCCGCGATGTCACTGGAGTCACGCCATCTGTAGCTACGTTCCCGCACCACCCACTGGATACTACTCGCCAACAGTTCCTCATAAGGCCACACTGTCCCGTTTCACTGGTGGCGTTCAGCGTTCGCACTCTGTGGCAAACAGGTCGACAGATTGCACTCCTACGCACGCTGGACACACTGGGTTTTGACGTGCGTTGTGTATCCGAAACTAAGATTTAATGACGCTCACGGGGTTGTTGAAGTAACTGCGCTTGGCTTGTCCTCTCGCTATTGGTTGCACGCATCCGGAGAGGCTGATGCGTCAATCACTGGTCAAGCTGGGGTAGGTATCACTCTCAGCTTCGAGGTTGAGTCATTGTTGGTTGATTGGATTCTCGTGAGCAGCCGCTGTGTGCAACCCGTTTGATGACATCAACTGAAATTGATTCGCGAAATAGTACAAGAGGCTGTGTTTGTGGTTCCCGCTTATGCCTCCACCGACTGCAATTGTGGCGCTGTCAAGGACACCTGTCACAAACTAATAACACTGCGAAGCAGTGGTAGTGTGGCGCAAGGCTCTAGATGGACAAAAGTTGATTTGGCAGCGTGACATGAAGTCACTAACCATCAAACTGGGTGCAGTCGGTCGGTCTCGCCTTGTGTTTGTCTCCAGAGGTTACAGGACTTGGCTCGCAGTTGACGTCAGTGGCGCACCTGCTGCCGTCTCCTAGTCCGACTGCTTGTTTAAAGTGTGTTTAGTGCTGTGTTATCAGCTGGGTAATGGCTGATTATGACGCGAGGCATAAAAGCCACAAAAAAGCTATCTCGCCGAAGCCGCCTTTGCACAATAGCCAGCTGTTTATGATGGTATGTTGTTGACAAAGCGTAGCCGTTTGAATGTTTGCATAGAGGATTAAGGTTTTCTGGTAAGTACCTCTTCTCTCTTATTATTCTTCGTTCCGTAGGTTGCTGTGGTTTTACGGTTGAAATGTCTGATGTACTGCTTGCTGTTGATGACGATGATGATGATCGAATCGTACCAAAGTGTCTCATTCCGGATACTTCAAATACGACAACTCAAATATCAACCATTTCAGTGGCCGCTATCACTATTGCCCATTTTCGAACTGTCCATTTACTCGGTTGGGTCTTTTCACGAGGGCGCCGAGTAACCAGTATAGCAGAACCTTACTTCAAATCTGGAGTAACACGTGCTAAGGTGGTCTTACAGGGCCATGATCTAGTGAGAACTTACGAGGATCATCGGATGCGAGTCGACCGCGGTGTCGTTGACTTTCATCTGATAGTCAAGCAGTTTTTCGTGCAGTGGTTGAATTTGTTGAACAGTTCGATGTATCTGAAGCCCATGATGGCTCCTTGTCGCATCATCGCCTTCTCCGCGTCATCCAAATTCTCGAAGAAGACATCCGCTGTCCCATCAGGTCTTCCATCCTGAACAAACCAGATAAGACAGACATGTATGGTAGGCAACGTGCTGCATTTGTATGGAAGACAAGAGTGTAGATCAACTAGGCACAGTTTACCCGCCACAGATAACAAGCGCTTGGGGGTGATTGAGTTAGTTAATGTTCGGTGTGGCTTAGTTAGACAGTATTGAATATCACTTGATTCAGCGTGACTGCATGCACGCCAGTAGAACAAAGGGTGCTTGTATCTTCCTGGGCCATGAATACGCCATGCATATTCAACCGGTATAGTCGTCGTCGTTGTTCCCCATGTTAGTCTGAGGAGAGAAACACCTCAGATATGGTATTACAATATGGTCAATTAGATAGTCGCAAAAACAAAATAAATAATCCTATGCCATGGTTCCATTCTGTCAGTAATGAGATCGTTAGGATCCAGACTCGTTGCGGAGACAACCGGTGGAAACCTTCAGGTCAATACGGTTAAGGTACGACAGGACCTATTAGAGTACATTCCACACGATAAATCTAGAGAGAGTGAAATTTATCGACTACCAACGAAGTGGTTACTAGGATCTCTGTATAAACCGATACCGCTTTAATGAGCCCACCTGGAAGAAATCAATGTCGGTTACCTTAATGCCTGATTTGCAATTGATTTGTGAATAGGATGCAATTTTGATCAACTTTGTGAACGGTAAGCCGAGCGATGTTCCCACAGACTGAAGCGAAGACCCGCGGGTTAGTATACTTAGATCGGTGGGATGGCTAATCACCTACGATTTCGCTATTGGCAATGTTCTGTTATGTCGGTGGATATTATCACGTTACAGCATAGTTATGTGTTCGGAAAGATCGCTTGGTTTCTGGATGTCGATGCACAGTTGATCACAGTTTTCTTCCTGATGTTGTTCGCAAATGATTAAATTGTGTAAACACAGATCCAATGGAATGCTCTGACTAAATTGATGTCACATATATGTTGCCGCCTCTGAATCTCCTATCGATCGGAGGCGGTTTACATGGGAATAGGTGGAAAAATGAAAGAAGCCCGGTGGCTGGATCCTCGACTGAGAAAAGAAAATCTCCATTCCTTAAACCCATTATAGCAAAGTTTAAATATGCGACAATTTTGCATCGAATGGAAAGAACCTCAGAAGTGAGAATTTGTTAAGGGATTAATGAGCACTCTTCTCCAAATCAGAAGGAATTGTGACAGATCGCAGTGCCTGGGAGAATGACGTCTCCAGAAAACCCATTTCTTCAGTGAGAGAAAGAAGTGTTCAGTGGAAACATTCAGTGGTTTCTGGAAATCTCAACTTTATCACACAACGTACGCATTTCTGCATTGGCCGAGACTGTTCTCTTTTATCAACTAATCTGGCTGTTCCCGAAACAAAGTTCATGGGTTGTGCTATAAATGCGCTTTATTATTCAGATCATTTGTGCTGATTCGGCAGGTGCTCCTGCAACACGCTCCGCGTCAGTTGTTGAGTTTGGATTTTAGATAGGATTGGAAGCTTGCGGAATCGCAAAGAAAACCGTCGGAGGATCGGTTTTCTCTATAGTTGCCTGCAATCATCATCATAAATACACATTAACTGAGGGTCAGAAACATGCCTCCGCTAATGTGCCGCAATACAAAAGGATAAAATAATAACAATAACACTACAAAAATCAAGTAATGTAAGGTTAGATATCATACTATTAACTTGCTGAGATCGTGTTTGGAGGAGGAATATAAAGAAGAGGTGATGGACAAAGAAACTCACAGCACAGACGCCATTGGGGCCGGCTCCTAGCCATCACAGCAGGTGTGTCCAACCAAACGTGTTCCTCGTTTTTCGAAGTTGCCTGCAGGTTATCAATGTATTCGACTATGGACTTAGGTGCCTATTGTATTTGATGTCAAGAGTTGTACGATACACTTCCGCAAAATCACTTTTTAAACGCTCCAATGCGGATCACTTGTGTGACTCGATGGATCGAGAAATTTAGCTTGTCGCATTTCGCTCACACCACCATCGGTCCTCGTTAACCATGCGTGCATGTGGAAAACTTTATAATTGTAACACAAGAGAACACACGAATAAATTTCTTTCCGGTAAATCGTCAGACACGTCCAAGTATGAAGCAGATAATCGAAGCTTACAAGAAGCTATTACTAGCCATGCACAAGTAAAAGGATATCAGATAATAGAGTGATCCCACCGAAACTACATCTATTTGCCGATAGTGTTGCCCGTCGAACCGAAACTGTCTGTTAAAGGTACAATGTAGAGTGAGTTCGTTTTACGCAATGGGGCTGCTGTTAGTTGTTCACTGGTCCCATCCGACATGTCATCGCGGCTCCTGATTCGTATCAGCGATACATAGACGACACATTTATCGTTTGTGACTCCAAGGTGGTTCCTTCACACCTATTGGGCCAGCTTAACCGTCCGGTCCATTTGCAAAACGGAGAAC